GTTCCAACATACTTAGAAATTTAATACTGTGTGTTCCAACATACTTAGAAAACGAGGCTGAAAACCAAAAAGCCCCCTTGTCGCTTGCCTCCCTTGACAGGCGCCTGTGGGACTGAACAGGGTGTAAGAGTGGTGGCCAAGTCAAAGGAATCTCAAGCTTATGTCAAACCAGAAGACAGCAATGACAGCAGAGCTCAACAACACACACCATGGTTGCATGAACTAAGTTCCCAGCCTTCACCAAGGGATGCTTTGCTTCAACTACTGACAAGTCACAAAAGGTGTAGGTGGTATTTAGGCCAACGAGAAACTGAGCCTGGCCCTCAGCAGTCCTGCTGTCCTATTTCTGATCAGATACTCCACACACCTTCACCTTCTCCTCCCACATCTGGGAAGCCAAGCTTGGAAACACACTGAGCAACGCTCCTCCAGTGGCAGGAGTCTTTATTGCATCACTTTCGTGCTTACTGCCTCTTGTATCACAGACAAAGCCACCTGAGCCTGCCTGAAGGAAGCTCGTTTTCCCCAAACATTCTGTCCCTGCTCATCTGGGGAGCAGACACAGATACACACTGCAGGTTTCACACAAGCAACGCAATCTGGTCCCATTCCAGATTATTAAAGACTAAGGCTTATTTCTACTCCTGGCATCAGCCATGATGACCTGGTCACGTACAACAACATGGTTTTAAAGAAAGGAAATTAACTGAGAGCACTGCAGAAGAATTGTACAGGTGAGGCTATACCTCTGCAGCACCAGCAAGGAAGAAAAAGGAAAAAAACACCTCACCTGTGGCTTCTCTGTGTGCCTACTAGGTGTCTTTTGCTTTCTATTTTAATTGCAAACTGAAGTTCAGAGCACCTTTTTGATCTAAATCCAGACAGCACCTAGTACAGTGCAAGTCTCAGGTCACGTCCAGGCTGCTTACCCACAGTCAGTCAGAATTCACCAGCAGCACAAGGTACCATGTCCATGCTGCACCACCAATCCCAGCAGTGAAGCAGTGCTTTCCAAAGCCTGTACAAGCCATCCTGGATGAGGCAGGAATCACAGCACACTTGTCATTTTATGACTCAAGAAGCTTAAGAGATTAGAAGTATTTACAGTTTATCACTAACCAAACTGCAACACCAAGCAAAGCAATTAAGTAATAATACCATATAAAATATAAACATTTCTGGGACCTTGTACTACATGGAAGTGTCTGTAATAGGAAGAAAATACATTCACAGCAGAAGGAACTGCAATGTTAACCATCAGGATTTAAAAGCTTCTTTCAGGGTAATACAACATCAGCTGATATCAGTCAATGAGGGGGTTGCTCCATCCCAAGGTGTAGCTGTCTAACAGGGTGGCCATTTACATTTTAGCACAGCAGCCAGGAATGGAAGGTTTGGGCTGGAGCTAATACAAGTGGAATAGCAAGGAAAGAGAGACAAAAGGTGGGGGTTTCCCCTCAAACTTCTTCATCACACCCTAAACTTTATTTGTAACTAGTAGTGTATCTAAAGGAACTTATGTTAACATCCCATGTCAGTGTTGATCAGTGCTGACAGCACTGAAAGGACAGATTGCAACAGCAATAAGAACACTTCCATATGTGTTTCAAAAATAATTGCTCTTAGTCAAATTAAGTATGGCTTTTTGATACAATTACCTTTTTACCTGGAGCTCTAGTGGTCCTGATATGAAAGGAATCTAGATATACATCAGTTATGGTTTAAGTCCTGCATTTAAGAAATAGATGAAAAAAGTAAATCCTTCTCTTAAGCTCATCTTCTCATAAATCTTATTAATAAGAGATATTCTGAGATAATACCAACAAGGGACCAGCATCTCTCCTTTCCTCATTGACTTTTGATATGGTAAATCATCATGTCTAGCACCTATAAATACCATTGCAATGTTTCTGTTGCTCTTCACTAAATATTGCCTTTTCTTTTTTTTCTTTTTTTTCCTAGAAGTAAGTACACACATAAATGAAATGAAGAGAAGATGGAAACTATGAGAGAGGAGCAGTGTTTAAACAACAGGATTTTTTTAAAAAATACATGCTTTCCAAGCCCATGGCAACAGCAACATTTCAACGGTACAACAGAAAAAATGAGGGGTTCTGTGAGCAGCCTGGTGGAAAACCAGGGTTTCCTGTGGGGTAAGGTCCACTTTTCCTTGTCATTGGATTAGCAGGAGGCTTTTTTTCTTCCTGCCCAGTTGCAGGAACCTGATAGTTTTAAGCCCTTTCCTGCCCCGTTACATTTGGTGGAAGCTTGCCTGTGTGGGTCAAAATTGCCAGTGGGCAGGAAGAGCAGACAGACAGCTGGCATTGGCACAGCACCCTCATCTGCTCAGGAGAGCCAACAAAAAAACTCCACCCCTGGGACTGAGCCAAGGATGGCCAGGAGGGCATTTTTCAGACCCGTGGGCCATAGTTCTGTACAGAAGGAGCAGGCTGTGCTCTCAGGTGTTACACACAGGTGGTGCTGAGTCCAGGACCCACAGAAACCACCACTGACACAGGCTCCAAACCAGATCTCCTCCAGTTCAGAACTCCGCTTTCAGAGACCCTCAGTGTTGGAAGTCTACAAACCCACCTCACAACTACTGTAGGAGGGGTAAGAGAGACCATTAGTGTCTGCAAAACATTCTTCCCACTCAAGTATAAGCAGCTACAGTGGCAAACAACATTAAACTATACTACTGTGTGCAGCTAATAAAAACTTCCACTGAGCTAAAACACGTCAATTACATCCCAATACCAAAGCTATGAATTTTAATTTCTTGCAACTGCTGAGAAGACTAAGACAAGTGCCTTGCACCAGTGCAGTTCCAGGCCTGCAGGTCCTTGTCTCTCCGTACCTGCCCTCTGTGCTGTGAGAAACACCACCCATTGACAGCTTAGCTACTTCTGATGCATAGCACGCAAATATCTTCATCATCAAAAAATAAAGAAGTCTTTCTATAATCATTGTAACTCATGAGAGCAAAACATGCAAAGAAAGGCTCCTCCAGTTCACAGCTTAAATGGGAAAATTTCAGCAGCCTCGTACGTACCCAGTGTGGTTTCATTTCCCCCAGAGATGTGTTTCTGATTCTAGGTAGGCAAAGCAGCTCATTTGTCCTAATTCCAAACCAGTGCATGCTAGTCTCCTTCAATCTCAATTAGCCAGTAGGAAATTTATTTAGAAAGCTGACAGGAACTATTTGGGGGATTAATGATCACTGATTTATGAATATTGAGCAGCATTTCAATAATCCAAGCAGAGTGATCACTTGTAGCTGAAGCCAGTTCTCCCAACCATTATAGTCTGTAGCAATCACTCAAAGGCAGTTAAATGATTCTGATTTATGACCTTAACCTACAGGGCCCAGTACATTTGCTCTACCAGTGTGTAAATTCTAAAAACGCAATTCCCTGCACCTCTAGAGAGCCAATTTAAGTCAACATTATGCATGAGCTGAGCATGCTTGAATTCTCAGATCTCTTATTTCACTCATTAAATTTGCACTGAACATCTTGCAATTAAAATTTCATATAGATTTTTTCTTATGATTGACATTTGGCCTTGGCAAAATGAGTTTAAATTTTGTTTCTCTGAAGATTTAGAAGGAGATAGATTGATCTAGACATTGTTTTCTGCAAGATGATGATGATGGAGCACTAATGCTTTTATTAGCATTTTGAAAAGCCTCCCTTTTTGCTGGAAGACTGTCTATCACTGGTAAGTGAGAGCAATTCAGTAACCACAGCCAAAGCTGCAGCCAACACAGCAGCATCAAAAGTGTTGCCGCAGTCCATGTGACCCTTTACCGTTTTTAGGCCAACATCTTTAACTGGGGTGGAACAAATTGGGCCTTCCAGTATAAACCAAAATGTGCTCATCTGAAATGAATAAACAGCAGTTCTAATATATGATTTTGAAAATAAGCCCAGGACAACTAGAAAAAGCAGAGAAGTATTAAAGTGATTTCAAGTCCTGATCTGAAATTAACTACTTGGATTGACTCAGCACTAGATTTGTGGTGCTAAAATCAGACAACTCATTTTATCTCATGTTCTGTCCCTCAGGCAAGGAGTTCATAGGAAGAACAGTTGTACCCTTTAGCAATCCCATGCAAACCTTCTGCAGAAGACAGACCCCACATTGAGGAGTTCACAGAGTAGGGGCAAACACCATGGCTGAGGGGAGAAGAATCACTTATGCCTCAATACATCAATGGCTTAAGAGGACTGCAGCATTAAGAGCCCAGGGACAGACTGTACTACAGAGGACAGCTCAAGGAAATACAAAGTCTTTTTGCAGAAATGCAGCTCCTAGCACAGTGACACATTGACTTCATATAGGACTTGGAGTATTGGGGTCATGCCAATAATCAATAACCAAGCACATGCTGCAGCAGACATGCAAGAATCCATTTTGTACCTCGAGAAGCAAATCAAGAGGAAATGTTTTAAAAACCTAAGGAGTTGACTAAAGGAAGCATCTCCTGGGCTGGAGAAGCATGAATACACGCTCACAATATCCATTTAGATCTACTGTCTAATGGAAACTGCACCAGAGATAACATTTTAACCACTCTTTCCCAACCTGCTGGGCAAAAGATTATTCACATGTCTGTGCAGGTCGTCATGTGCACAGAGCTGAAGCAGACCTCAAGCTTATATGCCGAACATGTAAGTGGTAAGAGAAGGCACCCTCCTTCTCATGTCACAGGAACACCCCAGACACTGCAGACTGGCAAGGAAGAATGCTTAAAGAACACACATCTACCACTTCCAGTTTAACCACTCTTCATTCCATCCAGCTGAGCACAGTATTTGCCTATCAGCAAATTATAAGCAAAGGAAATAAGCAAAAATTTGTCTCACTACGGGAAGAGATCAATAGTGTACCTAAATTCCATTATGTAGCTAAAGGAAAAATCCAGTGTACTAGCCCTGGAGAATATCAATATTGCAGCAGTGCCCAAGGCATATTTTACTGCAGAATAGTAAAGTCTTTACAGTCACAGCATAATTACACTAACATACTGATATTTTAATATCATCTCTCTGAAATGAAATTTTGTTTCCATGGCCAGTCAATAATTCTGTCTCATCTCAGTGATGAATTGAGCTTAGTGAATAATTTGTTATGAATAATTTATTCACTGCATTTCACCTTTCATCTCTCTCTGAACATTTTGTGAAATTCTGCAGGTATACATTACACAAAACTATTCACAAATAACTCATGCTTGCAGACCATGTGTTGACAGTTCACTGAAAATATTAAAACTGATTTGCCACTTGGTTACCATTCACGAGGTGTTGTACCTGCTGCATCACTGGCTGGGCTCAGTTCAACCAAGCTGCATTCCCAGTTGCTCAGAGAACTGCAATTCAGGTTCGATCTCAGATATTTAAGCTTGGAATGTACATTGTGTATAATTTCTCCCATTTTTCAGGAGTCCTTCAACTGGACTGACAATTATATAATGAAGCCATGACCCAGTGGAAGCCAATTCAGAATAATTCACCTATTTTAGAATTAGGTACACAAATGTCTGGAAACAGTCAATGGCATAAGAGGGGGAGAAGTACCAGGAGGAAAGGCAGGCCCAGAGCTGGGAATGGAGCATTCGGGACCTCAGGGCACTCAGGTGTTGAAATACGAGGCCTCTCACTCTTCAGTATTACACAAACTGAGAACACTCACACCATCTGAATTAAGCTACTTGAGCTCAATTAAGCTAATTGAGCATGTTCTGTCGTCTGAACTGCTGTGGAGTCACCAGCTGTGAACAACCACACCAGGAGTGTGAGAAAGCTGGTGGGCAGGTACAGGGCCCCAGAGCCCCTGGATTAGCAACAGTGGTGTTGGAAACAGTTGGCAAATGCCCTTCAGCAGTGACAGGTGACACAGCACCCTCACGAGGGACACAGAACCGATGGATGCAGCACACCTTTGGCTAATACACCAAAACTGGGGCGAGGGAGGGACTCATTAGGATTTGGTGGGGGAAGGATTTTTTGATTTATTTTCTATGAT